AAAATTCAACAAAGTTTCATCAAAAATCTGAGCTTTTTCGTTAGGTTTCTTAGAAACATTTTGAGTATGCAGTTTTGTTTTTTTTTGTGCAAGGTGTTACACACCTTCTCCATACTAAAAAAAAATAGTCGAAGATACTTTGTATGGAAAAAAATGCGCGAACAAAAAATTGCCAAAAATCAATGGTAAGTCCAAGATACTTCAAACTTGCACTTTTTATACTAAAATTGAATTGCCTACAAAACTGCATACCCAAAACAATTCTACAAAAATCTAATGAAAATGTTTAAAATTTTTATCAACACTATTCGCTGAATTTTAATAAATAGGCCCGTTCTTTTGCAACCGAGCTACTAAATTAAATAACGAAATACACGCAAAGCAACAACACAAAATCGGCTATTTATCCGAGTTCAACCAGGTCGGTTAAAATATACGCGACCTGAAGAGTAGTGTTGTTAAGTGCAAAAACTGCTCTATTGTGAATTGTTAGTGGGAAAGTGGAGAGGGAAATTTTTATTTTCGTATATACATGATATATATTTAAATAAGTACATATATTACGCAAATACCTCGCATAATTATTAATTTCTGTATATCTATAGATCTTGCCAGCTACCGGCAGGGTTGCTTAACCCTTAGCCACCTAACGCCGCTCACAGTGACTCTACCGTTTTTTATTTTTTAAATATTCCCGTTATTATGCAAGCTGCGCAGTTGTCCGTCTATGTACTTTTTCTTTTCTCTCGTCAGTTCGTTTTGTGCAATCAGGCAGTCAACACGTGTACCAATTCAAAAACTAGAGGTAAAACATTTTTGTTTTGTGATTGTTGGCAGGTTGCAATTTTATTTTAATTGCGATTTAATCGCGCCAAAAACAATTTATTATTGAAGTCCATGTTTTAAGTTATAAAAAAAAGAAAAAAATTTTAAGTTCGAATATTTTTTCCTAATTAGATCTCATTTTATAAAAGTATCTACGTTTTCTTACAAAATTCGTATATCAATGAATAAAAAATGTTATTGAAGTATGAAACTTCTTTTAAGTTAATTTTTTGTTAATATTAATTAAATAAAAGGTACAAAAGAGTTATGTGCGGTTTCTGCGTGTTTTATTATTATATTTATACTTTAAACACTAAAATTAAGTAAGGGGTCACCTTGACCGACGTTAGGTGGTAGAGTGTCTAAAAAAGACGTTAGGTGGCTAAGGGTTAAGTAGCCAAAAGGAAATTTTACCCGAGTTGAGCGTTCTTTTGTAGCTCGCTTACAAAAAAATGCAGCTATTGTTCTACAAAGTTTAAAATTTTGATTTACATGGGTTTTTAGATAGTAAGTTATATTTTCACAAAAAATAATAAACATTTCTTAAGCAAAGAAATTTAGCCAAAACTTTCTAAAGTGCCTTTTACCTATTTACATTCTAGCCACCATATCGCACACGATCTTCAAAAGTGACACAACTCAAAATTTGGCATTTTTGAAATTATGCACTAAAAATGTACATAGAGCCTTTATTTATCTTTAAGCAAACGCTGGATCAATTTTTTGTTATACTTTGTTCAAAAAATCTAAGGTTAAGGTCACTTGCTACGCGTGCTACAAAATATTTTTTCGCGTTTTCTGACGAGCGTGTTGTTTTGAGTTGTGTCACTTTTGAAGATGGTGTGCGATATATATTGTGTGTATACATTTTTGCGATCATTTTTCAAGTTTTTTATACCCGAGCGCACTAGTGCACAAGGGTATTATAACTTTGTTCACATAACGGTTGTTTGTAACAGGCAAAACGAATCGAGATAGATATAGACAAATGTATACATAAATGATCAGAATGAAAAGAGAAATCGATTAAGCGGTGACTGTCTGTCCGTCCGTCCGTCCGTCCGTCCGTCTGTCCGTCCGTCTGTGCACACGATAACTCGAGTAAAAATTAATATATCTTAACGAAACTTGGTACGTGTACTTCTTTCGGGCGTAGGACGGACGGTATTGAAAATGGGAAAAATCGGACAATAACCACGCCTACCTCCCATATAACGGTAATTTTCAGAAATACGAAAACTGCGATATTTTAGTAACTACTGAAAATTATTCACTCAAAATTGATATTTCCAATAATTTTTAGACGAAAAATAAGAATATTATA